TTTACCCTTTCTGCCATTGTTATTGTTTATTGTTCTTGTTAATCTCAACAAAGGATTAGGGTACGATGACATACATTAATCAGGCTATTAAGTTTAATAATGTCATCTGGTGACCACAGTGACTCCGGCTTGTTTTAACATCTCCGGTGACCGGAGTGATTAACTTTGGTAGTAAAACAATAGTTGTGGGATGAGTTTTGGTAGGAACTAAACATGTGGACTAAAATTGTCATTTTGTTAATACTCGTGGGATGAAAATTGGTATTTGCTCATTGTACAAATATCATTAGGAACATGGTTCTAATTATTTATTTTGGACATACTAATTTAATAAATTCGTAGTAAAAATAATTAATTTTTAATATTTATAAAGTAATATATAAGTAGGAATATAAATATCGTCAGCGCCACGTAACCTAAGTTAACTGTAATATTAACACCGTTAACTATTGTCCTTAATTTGTCCTACTTTTGAAAGTACATGGACTAAATTGAACAAAATAAAGGTATAAGGACTAAATTGAACAAAACGTTATAGTATAGGGATCTCGTAGGTATTTTTTTAATCTAAGTTTAATTAGAATGTGACAAAATGAATACCAAGATAACTCCCAACTCCAGTTGAAGTTGGTTTAATTCCTTTTTAAGGGTATCATGAATCTTGGCAACGCATTTGGAAGCACAACAAAGATTTATGGAAACAGTGGTGATAAAACACAAACAATCAAGTGAGTGACAGTTCCTTTAAAAAAAAAAAAAAAAAAAGTGAGTGATAGTTGCCAAAAACTGGAAGAGCTTGCACTAGTAACCAGGGACGAGCGACTTCAATTGAAAGAATTGCTTTTGGGTTTTGAGTGTGGATCTCAGCAAGAGTATGTTTGAGGTTAAAATAACTGTTAAAATTTACACTTTCTAACATACTTCACGAAAGTATGAAAGATAAGAAACACTTTATGGCTCTAGTTTCTGTACAATATACAATGTACATTTTTAATATATTAAAAGTGTATTCAGTACACAAATAATGTACATCACTTGAATACAATGTACATTTTTAATATATTAAAAGTACATTATTTTTGTACTGAATGTACATTATTTTACAGTATACAAAATATGCTTCACACAACTGGTCCACACAATAATGATTGTGTAAATGTTACTCCTCAATTATTAAAACGATGCACATATAACCCCTCCCTAACGGATCTGTGAATCCACGTTAGTCTACACCGTTTAGTTGGGGTAATTAAGTAATTTACTTATTTTTTCCTTTTTGATTTTATATTTTCCCATCCCCTCCTATGAGCATCAATGTAAGTATGTAACAGTGTCGGCGATCCATCATCATGCCTCCCCCATCGTCCGGGGCGGCGGTTTTGCCGGCGATGATCAACGGCAGTGCCATCCCTTTTCAGTTCCCGCTGCTTTCTGCTGCTTCTTCTGCGTGGTCTTTGTCTGCATATCCAGGCGGCCCTTCCCATCATGATCTGTACGGGGATCTGGGCTACAATCAATGGGTCAACATCATTGGAGAAGAAAATCAAGAATATTCCAATGGCTTCAACACCAAACAGTTCCTTCATGTGGGTTATTCTGACAATTAAGGTGAAAACTAAACTAAACTCCAGCCAAAAACCATTTCCTTCAATTTTTGTCTGTTTTTTGATACCCAGAATTAATGGAGTGTTAGTTGGGTTTGATTTATTTGCAGGGTGTGAAGGGAAGTTGTTCATCATCATCATCATCAAAAGGATGAAAGAGTATGTGTTTTTCCCTGTAGAGAGAAACAGTTCTTGTTGTTTATCATCTCTGATCTTGTTTATCAAAACAAGAAGAACTGTTTCTCTCTACAGGGAAAAACACATACTCTTTCATCCCTTTTGATGATGATGATAGAAAAACTTCTCTTCACACCCTGCAAATAAATCAAACCCAACTAACACTCCATTAATTCTGGCCTTCCGGGTATCAAAAAACAGACAAAAATTGAAGGAAATGGTTTTTGGCTGGAGTTTAGTTTAGTTTTCACCTTAATTGTCAGAATAACCCACATGAAGGAACTGTTTGGTGTTGAAGCCATTGGAATATTCTTGATTTTCTTCTCCAATGATGTTGACCCATTGATTGTAGCCAGATTTCCATCATTCCCTCGCTTTTTCTAAGGAGACAAAGATATATATATATATATATATATATATATATATATATATATATATATATATATATATATATCGCTTTTTCTAAGGAGACAAAGATAGATATATATATATCAAACATTTTTTAAAAATCTTGAACGGAATAAAATAAGGTTTCAGAGATAATGAGCAGACCTCGTGACAGACATTGCAGCGTTGATGGTGATGATCACAGAGAGATGGAGGGTTGAAGGTGAAGTTTGGCGTTGGAGAGAGCTCTTTCGAGTTCTCGTTCACTATCTTGGAATGAAAAAGATTCGAATGATTGGTAGAACCGCCCCCAAATCCCCGTACAGATCATGATGGGAAGCGCCGTCTGGATATGCATACAAAGACGACGCAGAAGAAGCGGGAACTGAAAAGGGATGGCCCCGCCGTTGATCATCGCCGGCAAAACTGCCGACCCGGACACGGCGGCGGCGGGGGAGAAGACGATGGACGAGGCGTGATGAAGGATTGCCGGCACTGTTACATCGACGCTCATAGGAGGGGAAAAGGAAAATATAAAAATAAAAAGGAAAAAACAAGTAAATTATCTAATCACCCCAACTAAATGGTGTAGACTAACATGGATTTATAGGTCTCTTATTGGCAATCATTATGGTCCACACAACTTGTGTGGACCATCTTTTGTATACGATAAAACAATGTAAATCTTTTGGATAAGGATGGGATGTGCCCGCCTCACCCCTATATATATAAAACATTATTATTTTACATTTATTCTCTTAATTCTCTTAATTTGGTATTCATGAAAGAAGGGCAATTTTTCCTTTTTGTTTTTATTTTTGTAAAATAACTTAATTTGAATTAATTTTTAAAACTTTTCTATAGTTGGTGTTTCCTTTTGGGTATAATGATTGATGAGGAAGGGATTATTTTCCCGTTAGGGATATGGGATAGAAAAGGTATTCAGGAGCAAGGATGGAGAATATACCCTACATATTTTCCATCACGTAACCATTCCTAGGTCAAACTCAACTATTTAAGCACATGCATCTCAGAGTACTTCTCCCAGACAAAGTCTGCATCAAATTCAAGAATTACGATCTGAATAATCATTACTAAAATATAATGATATTCTTAAAATTCAATACATAAATTATTATTGAGTTTGAAAATTTGTAAAGCGCAGCACACAGTGATGTTGAAACTGACATTGTAACACAAACGATCTGTAACGCAGTTCGGACAAACAACCCTAATCTGCGAGGCACTTCTCAATTTGAGAACTTGCCTAAATCCACTAAAAGCTCAATATTTAAAGTACACTGTTTGGAACCTGAGATTACACAATAGAATGATCTTTCCTACCAAACTATTGAAACCTAAACACATGTATTACTTTCTAGGGGAATTTAGTATCCTATTCTCAAAGACTCTCGTACCTCACAAGATTAATGTTGAATGCTTGAATTCTACAATAAAGGACAACCCCTATTTATAGTAGCTACTCCTAACAGATTCGTGAATAACCTAACAAAGCTATTCCTAATCAGACTAGAACTAGAAAAACTTCAATAACAATTCCCTTTAGAACTAGTATTCTTCAATAACTACTCCTCTTAGGCTTGGTATTCTTTTATAGAGTTGGAATTCTTTTTGCACATAACTTTGACAAAACACTTTGAGTCAACAATCTCCCCCTTTGTCAAATTTTTGGCAAAAATCTTAATCTCATGGTGGCTTGATTTATGATTCTCCTCCCCCTTAATTGATTCCCTGTATTTCTTTTATTTGATGAGTGTTGTCTTGAATCTTTATTTGTGACTTCATCACTGTTTATGAGCTAAACGAGCTGCCATCAGTATAACCTAGAATATCATCTATTCAAGTTACATAAACAGGGAGCACACTGGCTTCTTTTCTTGATTTCTTGATAGTTATCCGTAAGTGGAGGGTTTTTTTTTTTTTTATATGCTAAAAGCTTCCTGAGGCTATTGTATTTTGCATGGCTTTTATCCAGAATTTATCTCTTAGTGCTTCATCAATATTCTTTGTTTCAAACTTGGAGGTGAAACAATAATCTTCTTCGTCCATTTTGAGGTAATCTTGTTTCTTTCCTCTAGTCTTTATTCCTTGATTGAGATCTCCCATGATATTTTCCAAAGGATGATTTTTCTGAATTTTTAAGACAGTAGAATGACTTTTATCATTTTCTTCATTTGGTTCTGTTTCTGTTCTGCAATTCTGCATATCATCATTAGTCAGCGGTGTTGGAACGGTTGTTTCAACAACTCTTGGACTTTCATCATCATCAGTGATTATTGCTGGAGTTACATCATCAATGATCACACTGTTTGATGAATAGCCTGAGGATGCTCCTTAGTCATGAAAATTTATGTGTCCCATACGTTGGTGCCATAATTGTGTTTGACTGATGGTTGTTTGTAAACAAGATAGATCACTATCCCATGTGTAGCATTTGTTTGTGGACCTTTTTCCCATACTGACACACTCGTGATTCTGATTAAACACATTGCAACTGTCTCTAGAGAACTCTACTTTGAGTTCATCTTCACAGAGCTGACTTATGCTGATTAGATTTGCTTTTAGGCTTTGTACTAAAAGGACTTTTGGCAACTTAGGCAGCCCATGGACATTCAAGGTACCATTTGCAATAATTTGTCTTTTTCCACCGTCTCCAAAAGTGACATGCCCTTCATTTTTGTACTGGATGTTCTCAAGATTTTCTGAATTTCCAGTCATGCATATGCCTTGAGCATCCGCTGTCAAAGTACCAAATGTTTTGCTTGTTGCTTGTACTTGTGGTATATGCAACAGCCTGTGTTTGATCTTTTCTTACCCAGATTTTCTTATTCTGATTTCGTGCCTGTCCAGTCCATCTCCTGTTGTTATGTCTGTATTGGAGATCATACTGTCTTTTAAAACAATATGCCTTGATGTGCCCGAGTCTGCGACAATAGTAGCATCTAATTCTTCTTCGATGTTGGAAGTGAGTTGTAACACCTCAGAATTTTCAGTTTGCTTGTTTTCACTAGAGACTGAGATTGGAGTCCTAGGCCTTTCAGTTAGAGCCTTAATTTCTTGTAGCAGTTTTGCCTCTCTGTTTTCGGAGTCTAATAATTCATTTTGAGTTTCTTTGAACCGTTTTTCTCCTCTATCTTTTTCATCTTTTAGAAACTGATTTTCTTCCATGAGTTCTAGATTTACTTCGTTGATTTGTTCCCATTTGGCATGTAGTTGAGTATATGCCTCTAGTAATTCTTGTATATCTTCTCCGTTGTTATTTTCATGATTTGCGGTGAATGCTACGAAATTGGTGTTGGTATCTTCTTCACTGTCTGAGTCATCACTTAATGTTGTCATGTATGTCTTGTTCTTTCTTTTAAGGTATGTAGCACATTCTGACTGGATGTGTCCAAACCCTTTGCACTCATAGCACTGTATTCCTTCTATATTTGAACTGTCTCTTCTTTTTGAAATAGATTGATTTTGTCCAGTTGGGAAGTCCCCTTGATTGATTGAAGCACTTTTGTTTCTAAATTTGTTGAATTTTTTAAGAACCCTGTTGAAATTCTTTGTTAGGAGAGCAATTGATTGTTCCATGGTTTCAGTATCAATTTCTGGACTTTCTTTCTGCTTTGATTGGAACGCAATTCCTTTGTCATTATTTTTCCCTTTTTGCAGTATCTCAAGCTCATATGTTTGAAGATTTCCCATTAGATCACTGAGTTTGTAGGTGTTTAGATCTTTGTTTTCTTGAATGGCTGTAACCTCTATCATAAATCTCTCAGGTAGGGAACGTAAGACCTTTTTGACGAGCCTAGGTTCAGGAATAGGTTCGCCCAGGTTAAACGCATCTCCAGAGATGCTTAAAACGCTGGCACTAAATTGTGTGATATTTTCTTCTTCTTCCATTTTCAAGTTTTCAAACTCTGTCTCTATCATCTGTAATTTGGATTGTCTTACAGACGTGTTCCCTTCATGATGATCACATAATATACTCCACGCAGTTTTGGCTATGCAAGTGGTGGCAATCAGTTTGAAGGTATCTTCGCTCACAGCTCCATAGATTGCATTCATTGCCTTCGAGTTGAAGTTATATTCTGTTTTTTCTTCTTTACTCCAGTCAATTTTAGGTTTTCTATTTCCTTTATCATCAACTGGAGTTTTCCATTCGTTTTCTATAGCATTCCAGACACCTTCTCCTTGTGCCAAGATGTATATCTGCATTCTGGCTTTCCAGTAGGAAAAATTCGTGCCAATGAGGGCAGGTGGCCTAGTGCTTGACAGTCCTTCTCTGGGAAACTCCATTAGGATCCTGCTAATAACTTAAGCAGTTTGGCTCTGATACCAATTGAAAATTTGTAAAGCGCAGCACACAGTGATGTTGAAACTGACGTTGTAACATAAACGATCTGTAACGCAGTTCGGGCAAACAACCCTAATCTGCGAGGCACTTCTCAATTTGAGAACTTGCCTAAATCCACTAAAAGCTCAATATTTAAAGTACACTGTTTGGGACATGAGATTACACACTAGAATGATCTTTCCTACCAAACTATTGAAACCTAAACACATGTACTACTTTCTAGGGGAATTTAGTATCCTATTCTCAAAGACTCTCGTACCTCACAAGATTAATGTTGAATGCTTGAATTCTACAATAAAGGACAACCTCTATTTATAGTAGCTACTCCTAACAGATTCATGAATAACCTAACAAAGCTATTCCTAATCAGACTAGAACTAGAAAAACTTCAATAACAATTCCCTTTAGAACTAGTATTCTTCAATAACTACTCCTCTTAGGCTTGATATTCTTTTATAGAGTTGGAATTCTTTTTGCACATAACTTTGACAAAACACTTTGAGTCAACAGAGTTTTTTCTTTTGTGATTTTTTATTTGGCGATATTATATTATATTAATATTAATTTTTAAATCATTTTTAGATTTTTTAAGGAGTGCCCTTACCTGGATGAAAATCAAAGAAAGGAATTGGCCTTTGCACTGGGGATGGATCCTATTCAAATCAAGTGTTGGTTTCAGAACATGTACATTCACTTGAAGGTATATATTTTACAATTAATCTTATTCACTTTACGATGAGATAATGATATTATATATTTGATCGAACACTTTGAAATTTTACTTTTACAACTAAAATAAATTATGAGAAACATTCAAAGCTGATTTTTGCACTTCTTGTGGCTAAGAAGCACAACTAGTTGTTGATGAAGAATTATAGTGCATGTCTGGTTGGTTTTGCACTGGTGCCTGAAGCACATAATGTTGCCTAGTCGAGCAACTTTATAAGGGGTTGTGGTCGAGGTTATAGCCGAGGTGGTATGAGTTTTGAGTTCAGAATAAGAAACAAAGTGATCAAGATATTCAAGGACGACCAAACTCATTGAGGCAAAATCCTAGCTAGAAGCAGGTTTGCTAACAATGTGGGTCTGAAGGGCATTGATCCCTACGTGCCGCACACCACGGCATTTGGTCGTCGAAGAATGCGCCTCATCTTGATGATTCTAGGTAATTTGCCTGAAGCAAATACTGTGATAAATGATGATAATGAAATGATGAGGTATTGATGAAGAAATGATAGGTGTCATGATAATGTTTGAGTAATTCATGAAAATATATTCATGGATAAAAAGGTTAGCTCATGCCTGAAGTATGAAGCATCCGAGAAGTTAGTTTATGCCTGAAGCACCCGAAACGTTAATTCATGGCCGCAATAACTGATTGCGTAATCGAGCAGTATATACACTCCAAATGTGTTTTGAGTGCAAAGTTATTTCTGGAGGCAAATTATTATGAGTGCAAAGTGACTTGACTTTGCTAATTTTTCTTGCAGATTTTACTACTCGAATTGACTATTCAAAAAGTTTACATCTCTAAGCTTACCTCTGTATTCTTACTTCTCAGTTTACTTCTTGAAATTTTACTTTCTGGAACTTTATTTTCCAGAGGAAGTTTTTTTTCTCAGAGTTAATTCTCTTAGTTTGCATGCTTATTTATATATGGAAATTTTTATCATGCATGCAACATGACTCTCGTATGCAATTGACTGGTTGCCAATTCAAAATTAAATTATTATTTGTTCCATAAACCCTATATCAATCCCGAAAGGATTGCTATTATCAACAAATTATATGATAATCCTCTTTTTACTAAATTTATGATGTCAACATGATAAAATCCTCTCTGAATATGGCTTAGTACAATTCTGTGCTATTTATGGAGTGGTATACTCCTTTATAAAAATGATCTTTGACTTATTGCCATTCATGCTATGATTGATTTAGATGTTATTGGTTTGGAAGATAGAAGCGAATTATATCATACCAATTTGCCCGAAGCAAATGAGAGAATGAATTATATCATATCAATTTGCCTGGAGCAAACGAAGGAATAAATTATTTCATATTAGTTTGCCCGAAGCAAATGAGGGAGTGAATTATATCATGTGAATTTGCACGAAGCAATTCCCAAACCAGTGAGTGAACTAATGTAAAGTTGAGGATAAGGATTTTTGGAAGATCTATTTTATTTGACAAGTTTCACAGCTTCCCTATGATTGTTGTGTACCCTTATAATACGATTTGATATGTATGCTTTCATATCTGATTATATATGTTACTCTTAGATGATTGCATATATGTTTTGGGTACTTCATATGTTGCGATACATTTTTAAAGGCTTTAAAGACCCATATTATTTTATAGTATGGCATGAGCTATAGTGGGTCGCCTTGGGCAAATATATTGTTTGGTGAGCCAGATTTCTTCAAAGGCATATTATATAAAGCATATTTTGTAAAAGAAAATTCTTAAGCTATGTATTTTCTTGTTGGGGACATCAGTTTTATATGCTATTGCTGTTATCACAATATGACCTACTGCATATCGTAATTATTCCCCCTAACACCTAGTACGTGGTATAAAACGAAACATTTCCCATCTGCGTTTTATTCACAGTGTGCAATCTTTTTCCTATATCACCACCATAGTGTATCTTTGTGGGCATAGATATGGTAATTATAAACCTCCGTCGGTGATTTAAATCTTTAGAGCCCATGATAAGGGATCAATATATAAATAGGTACGTTGACTGCACACTTTATGAAGATCATTTCACGGCATTAGGGGGAGATAAGAGCTCAAATTTTATAAAATGTCGAGAAATTCTATGAATGATTGATCTTCAATATTTAAATCCACGTACTAGGTAGACTGAACTAGAAGTTCAGAAGAAGTAAACTGAACTAGAAGTTCAAAAGATAATTAATCTGCCAATATATATATCTATATTGATCATAAAAAGAGTGACTAGGTCCTACATATTTTCCCCAACTTGGACCATATGTATCTACCAATGCTCCTTGACGCCAGAAGCGCGGAGACATGTTTGTATAATACGGGGAAAGCTAAATCTATTAAAAAATGGTGTTACTCTTGAAATCGCTTAAAGAAGTATGTCCTAAAGACATTCGTCCAGAAGGCGAAAACCCCAGTAAAATTTTAGGTGCACCCAAAATCATAATACTGGGGATGCGGAACAACCAGATAAAAATATCTTTGGGAAATGTCTAGAGTCTGGTTGAATTTGAAATTGCCATTATTTTATATATATGGGAGAGATTTATGAAAAATGTTATAGTTGTCGACAACATAATTGCCTTTGCAAATTGTTCTCGTTATATGATAATCTGGATCCAGAGCTAGGCACCAGCTGTGCCTTGGTATTTTTTATGTATAACGGAGCAATTAAGGCATGTACAGCTCAGCTCGCTAAAACTGTATTCTCTTTATAACATGTACACCATTTAATGTTAACCCTGTAGGTTACAAATGAGTGTTTGTACGAAAGAGAAATACAAACAATATGGTGGTATAATATAAAGCGAGACTGGTAGCTTAAGGGTTTACGCAGAGACCCTGAATTAATTTTGATCAAATATTCTCTCCCACAACATATGGCATTACGTTCCGCAAATTAACATTATTGGCAGTGAATTATAAATTTAGATATGTAGTTGATGAACGTCATGACCAACAAACTTATGGGTCATTAGACGCTAATATTTATTTGTAAATTCCTGATGGATTGAACACTTTTGAAATAAAGAAAGTGAAAATCACGACGTGTAGCATTAAATTGCCAAATCTTTGTATGACTTGAATATTATTGACTGAGTGTTTTCCTCCTGAAGAAGGAATATGCAAATAATATGTACCATTATGTGTTTGTTAACGAATTGCTAATGGAGTTATTTATTTATCTGCTCAGTCGATATTGATGGCTTAAATGTTATTGAAACATAAAGAGAGCTTGGTGATATTAGCTCATGCCAAAAGACGGAGTTTTGAAATAAAAGACTTGGGAAACCCAAGTATTGTCTCGACCTGAAGATCGAGCTTCTCCTTGAAGAAGTTTTATACACCAGTTAGCCTACTTGAAAAATATCTTGAAGATGTTTTATATGGATAAGTATTATTTACTTATCACACCAATGGTTGTCCAATAATCTCTTGAAGTAGATAAAAGAACATTTAGACTCGAAGATGATAATGAGGATATTTTAGGACTAGAAGTCTATTACTTCATTCCTATTGGAGCACTATTATTGAACTAGAAGTTCCATAATCGCATCAGGCCTGATATTGAATTTGCGATGAAATTGCTAGCAACATTTAGTGTTTCCCCCTACAATGAAAGTTGGAATGGTATTTAACATATCCTCCAGCACATTCAAGGTATAAATATTTTGACGTTTATGTAAGAAACCAATATGTGGTTTTGATGGGCTATTTGGGCACTAGCTCTTTTATTTGATCCCTATGATGCTAAGTCCAAAACTGGTTATGTTATATTTTTACCCCCAATGTCCCATATGAGGACAAATAAGATTGTGTTGCACAAGCAAGTAATAGTTTTGTTAAGGGGAACCTTATAAAACATGTTGCACCTAAGTCTTTCTACACACATGAACTCCAGAAGAGTTGTAAAATTCTTGTTGAGAATGTTTGCCACGCTGAACAATCTTGTAGATATGTTCACTAAGTCTTTGAATACATCCACTTTTGAATAACATGTTTATAAAATTGGGATGCATAGGCTTAGAAGATTGTTATCTTCAGGGGGAGCGACAACCCCTAGCTGTGCTAGAATGGACAATCTAGAGGACTTTTGATATCCTAAAGATTATGCTACGAAAGCATATGGTTGTACTCTTTTTCCCTTAGCTAATTTTTTCCCACAGGGTTTTCTTAAGCTAAGGTTTTTAATGAGGCAACCGATGTTGGT